GTTGGATTCCTGTAGTTGGAGCATTTACTGTAGTGTGTTTCTGAGGTGTTGGTCGGATTCTTGTAGTTGGAGCATTTACTGTGGTGGGTTTCTGAAGTGTTGGTCGGACTCTTGTAGCTGGACTATTTACTGTAGTGTGTTTCTGAGGTGTTGGTTGGATTCCTGTTGCTGGAACATTTACTGTGGAGGTTTTCTGAGGTGTTGGTTGCACTCTTGTTGCTGGAACATTTACTGTGGTAGTTTTCTGAGGAGTTACTGGGTCTTCCATACCTGGAAGTACCGTGCTGGCTTTCTGAGGTGGTGGAGGGGTTTCTACATCTGGTACAGTTGTGGTGGGCTTCTGAACTGTTGGTGGGATCAAGGGAGGTGGAGATTTTCCTGTGGATAAAAAAATGTTAGAGAAAAAATGAGCTAAATGTTGTTGAACAAAGTTGTTTCCTTAGCCATTGCTTGCACCTTGGCTGTCCTGTCTCCCCATAAAGACTTAGACAAGATTTTTAGGAAACCAAGTCTTAGTATTTCCCACAAAGTTGAAATGCTGCCTCATTTTTGCTTTGATATTAATCACCCCCATGGATTTATCCCAACATAAAACTGAGATTCTTAATCTCTTTTCCTTGTGAAAAAAGGAAAGCCAAGTGGGAGTCAGTAGTGCTCGTACTCTGTGACACGTCTTTGTTTACTTTCTCTCCAGAAGTGTCTTCCTTCACCTGGCCAAGACCGAAGAACAACAGGGCGCGATCACTGGACTGAAGCAGTCACAGCACAGGAGCTCTTTTCCCAGGGCTTTTCAGACATGTTAGTGAGGGAAACTATTCCCCTTTAAAGGAATGCCAGTCTGAGGGAAAATAACTCCCCGTCTTCCTGTTCTTGTTACCTACTTTATACGGACTCATTTAGTTCCTCTTTCGATTTCTGAGTGAGATTCCTAAAACCCTATTCTGAGAACTGTAATTCTAGCACCACAGTCTTCAGAGCCTGCTGTCTCCGGGCTGCTCACCAAGCTCCCAGGAGCCCAGTATGCGGCAGTGCCATGCCTGGCTTTCCCTTGGGCTAGGGACCTCTGGCAAATTCTTTAATCCCGCTAGGCTTTGCTTTTCTCATTTGTAAAACAACAATAAAAATATGTCATCTGCAAATAACGACAATTTAACTTCTTTGTTTCCCATCTTTATTCCTTTTATTTCTTTCTCTGTCTAATTGCCGTGGCTAATGTTTCCAGAACTATACTGAACAGGAGTGGTGATAGTGGACATCCTTGTCTTGTTCCTGATTTTAGTGTGAAGGATTTCAGTTTTTGACCATTTAGTATGATACTGGCTGTTG